AGATTGTACTATTGAAGTTTTAAGAGGTTCCCTTGAAGATAATTATGTTAAATTAGGCTAATATTCTCATAATTTGGCTAAAACTAATCTTGGAACAATATTATCTTTAGAGACTGACAGTGAGAACCGCTTTAAGTACTTTTTATGGCTCTCGGACCTTGCATTCGCAAATTTTGCTCTTCAATGTGGAAGGTATTTGTCGTTGATGGCGCTAATTGTTGCTACTTGTCAAGATACAAATAGTCAGAATTATCCTCTTGTTTGGGGTATAGTAGATTAGAGTGCTTGTTATATTTGATCGACATCCAAGTAAAATGCCCATCATAGTCATTGCATGTATCATATAAAAAGAAACTTAAGGACGGTAACTCAAAAAACTAGAGTTTCCTACTTTTTAAGAAAGCAGCAGAGGTACTTTGGAAGAGTTTGAAATTATATGAGCGAAATTAAAAAAAATTATATTAAAGCTTGGAAATATGTAGTCAAAGCACGTTTTCATACTTGGGCCAAATCACACTTTCAAGGGAACCATTACAATAACATTGAAAAATGCAGAGTCACTGAATTTGGTGTTTAAGAAATATCGAAGGAATTCGATACTTGCATTGATTAAGAGTATTAAGAAAATATTATAAAAATGATTTTATAAGAGATGTGTGAATGCACAGAGTTGTACAAGCACTCTAATGCCACTTTTTAAGCACTCTAACCTCAATACAGTTTCATATATAAGCACTAAACCCAGTTTGTATTTATCATCCATGTCTTCTATCTCTTTTTCAAATGCCTCATTTAATTCTTTAGGCGTAATTTCGCTAGATGTTGGGAAATATTTATTTCTCAATCTACCATTTTCATTTGTCTGGCTTTCATACTTCTCATTAGCAAATCTTAATCCCGTGACGAGCATAAACTCTTATAGGGAGGAACGGGTAGCTTTTTCCAAGCCTAAACAAAATCACAATTCATCGTCATTGACAGAGACAGCCTGTCGTAATAATAGGCTGTGAATTAGTTGAGCTGATATTTTCATGTTCCTGATGTCGTATAATTTACCGAAGCATGACTTCTAGAACATTTCCTTATGAACATCATCTAGTGCATCATATACTTTCTCCATGTTCGACACGTTAGAACGTGTCCATCGATCACTGATGCTGTATGTGCGTTCTATCCTACAAATGGCATGAGAATATTTGTAACTCAATTGAAGTAAAAGTATATAAACCTCAAGGTGACGGAGCTAAAAACTTGTAATCAAGAATGCCTTAATATTCCAATCAAGTAAAGACATGTAAAATTTAGGCCACATAATCTGACTTGTTATGTGATATACCCAATCATCAATATGCTCTATAGCATCAATCAACTCTGAGTGCCACAAAATAACAAGGATAAGGATAACACCCAAGATTAGATAAATACTTCAAGTGAACAAACAATGAACATTTTCATCTATCTTAAATTATGACCATCTAGCCATTACAATCTTGTCAGCATCACAAATTAGGTTTTATAGGCACCATTTATTTGGGAGGCATTTGTCTCCATAGACTCAAAATTCCTTTGTCTCCATACACTCAAAATTTCATTTATCTATATGCTCAAAAATTATCTAAATTCCTCTAATGAAAAGGAAAAGGTTACCCAACTTTCCCCTATTTATTTTTACATTATTTAATGCTAATTATGATATCAGTGTGATTCGTTCACAAAATTATTACTCTTTCTATTGGCCATTTTATTCACCAATTTGAAAGAAAACCAAGCACAAGATACTAATAAAATTCCCAACATTTAACTACTTTATATTCATGCTGGCATGCTGCCATATACTCTTTCTATATTCATTATACACTTTTTAACTATTTAAGATCTCATTAGTTAATTTCCTCAAACAGCCTTTGACCACTATTCTCACATTCGATATGACATCTTTAAACTCATGCAATGGAACCCATTAAAGAATATTTCTCTACAGTACAATTTGTTGCATGAACACTCAAATTTGTTGAAAAACGTCCGTCATTTCTTCAGAGCAAATATAAAGCATTTTCAAGCACCCCTATAATCGGATCTGAAATCTGAAGAAATTTGAAAGGGAGAGAAAGCAAAGCTGGATGGACCTTTTAATTGTGAATTAATTGGCCAATGAAGATATTCATCTTCATTCTTCACTTTTCACATAACAAGTCTCCCCTGTATTTTGTCTTCAATTTACCTCTCTTGATCTAGCACTACGATTCTATGATATCCTTTTTTAGGTTAAAGTACATCTCGAGTTAGATATGAGTTCCATGCGCTTGCCTCCACTGGAGTTTGACTCGATCTCTTTCATGCAGATTTGATCGAGTACAATACCATGAAGGGGGGGGGGGGGGGGGAAAAAAAG